TGACTATCTCCAGGAATGTTTCATGCCAAGAAAAAAGGAAGGACCATACTGGTCTGGAGCTGACACCGCCCCATCCACGCCCATTACAAAAAAGTTAAACCTAAGACATATCACATCTTGTCATAATATGATCAAGACCCAGGAACAATCAGACCTGCATTTGCTATTACCCTGACTCCAGTAGCTCACTGCATATTGCATATAGGAAGGCAGTGTTTTCCCACAGGGTCTCCCAGAAGGAAGTTCCATCTTGAAATCATGCAGAAGCAGCTAGGTCAATATCCATGCAAAGGCACAGCTTCATTAACCCATAAAGCATGAAACCTGGAAGGGAGAGCCTTGAGAAGCATGCTCCACAATTTAGGGAATAATCAGACAAAGAAAAACAATGCTTGGCTAAGGAGAAGGAACGTCTTTCAAAGAAAACAAGAACAACCTCAAGTTCCTCACTCACCTTGTCTGGCCAGCTGCCTTCTTCTGAAACGTCCAGTTCTTTTGCCTGGATTCATCTCAACAGAAGCAGTTTTAGCTACATTCCATCAGCTGGAGAAAAGGGATATCACCTTTTGGAAGGTAAACCAGAGGTTTGGTTTTTGGGTGATGAATTTCTGAGAGTCGGTCCCCCAGAGGATTTTCAACCCAATGTATAATTTCATAAAGACGCTTATGTTTTAAATGGTCTGTCTGTAAAATACACTTTCATGAAATGTTGTTTTCTCTGAACATTCCTGTTTCCTTCCTGTATGGACTTAATGAACTTGAAATTTCAGAAGTCAGTAGGGATGGTATATAACATTAGGCTTGGCTTTAAATCAATACTTTCCCAGATACTGGTGTTTTTTAATGGGCCACCTTATAGAAGGCATGAAGTCATAGAATCCTAATAATCATCAACACCAACCATCGATTTTGTAACTAGAGAATATGAGGAACCAGGAGGTAAAGTGACTTGTCCAGAGCCATACAGTGACAGAGGCAGACACTTGACCCACTGCTGTGATGTCAAATCCTGGACTCTTCTCACCTCTCCAGTGGCCAAAATACAGAGGGGCAGTATTTTGACCCCTCTCCCTGCAAAAAAAGCCAATGCTTTTTCATCACTTTAAATCCAAAAGATGAATCTATTGGCTTCCACAATGAATTAGGTGAAAGGGAAGGGAAGGAGAGATCAAAAGGCAATGAATAAATGAATGAGGAAGAGAGCAATTTATTTGTTCTTAATTTTAAGAGTGAGAGTGATTCAGATCTTATTAGGGGCTTAAGAGGAACAGCCTGCTTGGAGCTTGGACTTTTGCCTTCCATGATTGGATGAGGACTATGTATTTAATCTGGGCGGTGGGAAGAAGAGGACCTGCTTTACCCAGAGTCAATGACACTTGTATTACATCAACCAATCCCTGCCATTCTGCAATTTCCTCATGCACCTGCCTGGAGTCACAGGGCATTTCCTGCTGAACCTGAGCGTCTCCTCCAAGCCACATCAGCCCCTCAAAATCTTTCCTTCTGGGAATTTCTCATAAACAAATTCTTGGTAGAAGGTATAAAAGATTAGTTCCTCTCAGCAGAGCAACATCTCTGGCTGTCACAGGAGGCCAAGGCACGTGGCAGGTAAGACTCATTACTTTTCATCTTTCCTAGTTTCTGCAAAGTTGATGATGATATTTCCTAAAGGCTTCTCAGAAAGCTTAGTACTAGATTTGGCCATGTCTTCGCTGGGCAGTTTCTGGTGCCAGATTTGGCTGCCACCATGTCAGGTCATCTCTGTTTGGTGTAAGGGAGAATGTGATTAAATCTATTGTGGGGCAAGGAGGCTTTTCTGAGTCTGAAAATGGAGTCACAGAATCACAAACTCTTAGGGCTGGAAGGCACTATAGACCTCTCACCCATCCTGTTTAGGAACTGAGGCCTAATAGATATCACATGTCCAGGGCACATAGAAAGTCGGGGGAAATAAAAAAATGATGCTCTGTGTGGTGTTCTTGAGACTGATGTGATAGCATATGAAAATTTTGCTGTGTTTTAAAGGGTTTCCTAGGCCAGGGTTCTCAGATCCTCATCTTGTTTCCAGCATCTCATGCCTGCTATCTACAGCAGATCTGAATACCTAGTTAGCCTTGAATGCCTAGTCCCAGCTGTCTTCAATGCCCTCTGGATAGCTGGCTCTCAGTCAGGTGTATGAATTGTATCAATATTAAATGGGCTCTTCTTGGGAGAATGAGTGGTTGAATTGTGTTGTTTTTTTTTGTTTTTTTTTTTTACGTGATTGGTTGTCCCTGAAAGGGACAATTATGTCTGCTGCAGATGGCTTGGTAAGAGCTATCTCCTCTCCATTCTCCTCTCGATCCTGGAGCTGCTCAAAAGATCAAATAGAGGGTTCTTGGGACTAATGGAGTATTTGTTGGTTATCCTATTGCCTCATCCCACCACCTTCAATAGAGCTTTTGCCATTCATGAAAAAGAATCCCACTGAATCCTTCCTTTCTCAGGCCTCCCTGCAGCCTTCCTGGTGACTGCTCAGAAAGTCTGAGAGCCAGGCTCTGGAAGGCCTTTAGAACTCTGGGTTCCAAGAGTGTGGTCTGTAGACCAACAGCATCAGCATCACCAGGGAGCTTGTTGGAAGTGCAGACACTTTGTCACGTCCTGCGTGGCAAGGGCAGTGGGAAGCGAGAGGGGTGATGCAGAGTGAAAGAGCACAAGAGACAGCGATAAGGCTAAAGCGGGACCAGGGGCATCAGCCTAGAGGACTGAGCCCCGAATCGGGTCATCGCATGGCTTTTATTGAGAAAATTTCAAGGAAGTGAAACTGAATTACTCAAAGATCCGTGTGTTANGACAAATGGATAGGAATTTACAAGTGAGATGGGAGGAAGGAAGAGAAGAGAAAAAAGGAGTAAATGCACCCAGGATGACTCTGTGGTTTCCAACTTGAGTGATGGAGAGAATGATCACATTCCCAGCAGAGTTTTTCTGCCCCGTTCTTAACAAGATTCCTCTCATCCTTTTATTTTGGTTGTCCCTCGGAACTAAAGAAAACCCCATCCCAGCTGATCTTAAAGTGAATAACAGAGGATTCTGACCCCTTTTGTGTGTAAAGAGAATATGTGGCTTGTACAAGACTGACTGTACAATGGGCAGAAGCAGACTGGTACTAGGACCTACTAGATCTGATCATTCACATCAGAATCCTAGTAACAGAGCCTAAAGGAATCCCACAATTATTTAGTGGACTCACTTATCTTTGCTGGTAAGGAAACCAGGTCTGCAAATGAAGAGTGACTTCCTCGAGGTCACACAGCCAGTGAGTAGGAAGCTAAGGTTAGAACCTAGCTTGCTGAGTCTCAATCCAGTGCTCCTTGTATTTCCAGTTGTTGCTTAGTGCTTGTCTGTGTGTGTGCATGTGCACACACATGCTTGCTTAAGCAACAGAGGACGTTTTATTGGAATGGTCTTTTCTCTGAGCATTTACCCCAAAGCATACCTCATCAGACTTCTCACATAATAATGATAACAATTCAAGATTGGCTTTTGTTTAAAATCCTGAGTTTATTTGTGACTTATATGATAGTTGTCTTATTTCCCCATCACAACCCGGACCACCTCAGGATTTAGTTTTGAAAGTTTCGCTGAGGAAAGAGGGGGCGAGAGACACTGATATTCAAGCAAGCAAGTTTATTGACCTGCAGGGCTGAGGCCATGAGAGGCGTCAGCCCCAACCAAGGTAAGGGTCTAGTTTTTATAGGGTGGAGTAAGTAACCTGTGGCAGCGGTTGGTGGTGGCAACGGTTGGGTGGGGGCAACGGATGGGCGTTTTCGGAAAATTTCTGCTTGTGCCAAGCAAGATATGGATGATGTATTGCCTGCTGGGTTTCACGCCAAGCAGGATGCGGGGTGTGCACCCGTTACTGCATGGCTGAGCTGGCCTCCAGGGCGAACAGTACCTTACAAGTTTGGGTCAAATTATCTTGGCTGAGCTCTGTGATCTGTCACCTTTCCCAGCCCCTGTCCTTACATTACCCTGCCAAGGCAGGGGACAGATTGCACACCTTTCTCATTTGAAGCAAACTTATCAAAAGTCATCATTTGTGAGCTAACTGGAAAGAAAAAGAGGATTGGGCATAAGAAAAGGAAAAACCAGGAAGCACATAATACTAGGTGCTCAGTGAATATCTAGGGGGGAGATAAAAGAAAGGAAGGAGAGACAGAACACTGATGGGAAATGGGAGAAGGGCCTTGCCTGAAAAAGGATTTTTGATTAATGAGGAGAAGAAAGAGATAACATTCTGCCCACTTCACCAAGATGGTTCTTGGAAATTAACATCTGCCCCCTCCACCAGGATGCTTCCTGGGGAGACCCTGAACAAGACCTAGCCCTTCAGCTCCCAACATCTGTGGCTAGTTGGAAAAACTCATTGGTACTAGGTTTGCCACTCAGAACCCTGATGTTATGACAACCTCAGAAACCACCAAACATCCGATGACTCCTCCCCCTAAAAAATACTTAGAGAAGACAGCAGAACCTCTTCCTGTCTGCTGAGGAAGATACACAAACCATCCCAGACATTTTTCTCTCCCACAAATCCCTCCTCACTTTGAAAGGGACTGCCTAGCAATATTCCCATCCCTCCTATACTGCCCAGGGACACCATTCAGAGAAACTTTGTCATCTCCACAACCCTCTGGAGGCCTGGATGGCTTATGCCAGAGCACTTGGGTCCCTCTCTTCTCTGGGTTAGAACAAATGGATGAATTCCAGAGAGGATAAATATTGACATATGGCGCCCTGGTGAGGACAAGAAGTCTATTTGTTTCGTGTTCTGGAAAACCAACAAGAGGAAATGCATTTTAGCCAGGAAAGAAAAAAAAATAACCTGTCCAACTGTGAATGACAGCCAAGCCAGTGGGAGATGAGTGAAAACAGCCAGCCAAGGAAGGGACTGGCCAGGCTTCCAAGGGAGATGGAACCTGAAAGGGTGAGGATGTCTGGATTTTCAACCAGCTGCCATGGCCCGGTATGAGAGCTATGATCACATCATACAAAGTGGTGACTTTGTCACTGATTGTGAGTATTCCTTTGATCAGCCAAAGGTTTTGTGTGCAGCATGCAAAGTTGTACTTTTAGAAGGTGGTGGAAGATAACCAACCATGTCCAAGGCCAGTCTCATTTATAAATTGTGAATTCCTGGAAAGTGTGTGTGTGTGTGTGTGTGTGTGTGTGTGTGTGTGTGTGTATGGCCATGTGCCAATGATGG